CCCTTGAAGGATGTCCACTTGCAGCGGGAAGCAGGCCTAAGCTGCAGTCGGGCATCCTTAGCGCTGCTGAGAGTGGGAGAGCTCCTGCTACCACCGCTGTGCTGGCAGCCATCAGCCTGGCTTGTGGCTGAGCAGAGCTCCCCATGTGGAGTGCACTGACACCAGGGGGAAGCTCCTGCATTGAGCGTCTGCCCCCTGGTGGTCAGTTTGTGTCATAGTGACCAGTCATTCCCAGTCATTCTGCTGTTAGGGTCAATTTGCATATTACCCTTTTATTATATAGGATAGTTCTATTGAGAATATTAATGTTTCCAAAGGATTAAATTTCAGTTAAGTAGGAGACATTTGCCAGGGGAGTGTTTTTTTGATACGGTTTTAATGTAGAAGGAAATTGGTTGGGCAGCTGTGGCATTCGATTGTTTGATGAATGGCTGAGTGACAGGATTTATCACTTCACTTCATGGTGGGTTAAAGCAAAGGAGACTTTAGAATATCTCTGCAAACTGTGCTTGAAATGTTAGTGGATGATAATCCTAACAGAAAAGGGAGGCTAGGACTCTTTCCTGGAGACCTTAGCCTCGTCAGCTTCCGCCAGACATCAAGGGTCAGGGAACAGACCTTCCCAATCAGACGCGTGTTTGTGAATTACCCTTTATATGCAAAAGTGCTGTGCAAAGGAGATACGTGTGAAGTGAAAAAGGAAGTACCTCTTACAGTTCATTGGAAAAGATTATCCTTTGCATGTAAAAATGGTAACTGATTCTCAGGGTATTCCCTCCGTTTTGCTAAGCATTGTAGCTCACCAACCAATTAGGAGGCAATGAGCAATCATGCTAACGGGCAAGCAATACTGTAAAACAGCTATGCCACAGACACTGTGCGGAAGCCTTTGGCATTGGTTCGGGCACGTTTCACGAAGGAAGGCTTCCTGAGCTAGGCCTTGCAGGGTTTGGGTAGCCAGGGGCGGAGTAGCCAAGTGAGGAATAGGAATGTGAGTAAAGCATTCAGTTTTGCAAGTTAGTTGGGTCTGGAACGTGGGGCCAAGGAGAACAGACGAAGGGAACAGTAGGAGCAGAGCCTGCCCTTAGGGCAGGGGCGCCCCTAGCGAGGGCGTGAGGACAGTTGGCAAGAACAGGAAGGGGTTCCTGAGGCTGGAGAAACCAGGGTCAAATGGAGGGGGAACGGAGCCTGGGGTGGGGAATCGGAAGCTGGCCAATGGAGCATTAGGAGTGGGGGCGCTATTCATAGCTGGGGGTGCAGATGCCAAAGAGGATTGACGAGGAGGAGGTGAGAGAAGCAAGGTTACGGATGCATACAAGGGGGGGTTCCACGAGGAGTCTGAGTTGGCCAGTCTTACCTCCTCGGTCGAAAGCACCAGCTTTAAGGGGCCTGGCATG